AAGTGTTCAAAATGTGCTCCATTTGTGAGTTGACAGCACTCTAATCGATGGTAGAATGCGTCTACCACATTTCTAGATGATTGTCTAGAAATTATTCGAGATTCATCGATAATTCATTGCCTTAGCTATGCAAGACTTGCTGGTTAAGTTTTGTAAACTGAATTTTTCAAGTATCTCTAATAAAAATAATCTTTAGGATTGAGATCGGGTGAACGTGGAGGCCATTCAATTCTAGCTTGTCTACCAATTTATCGTCCGGGAAATATCTCATCTAAATAACGCCGAACATTTACACAAACTATCTGACGTTAAATTTCTTTCGATAAAAAATGGCCCAATTAAATAAGTACCTACTATAACTGACCATACATTTAATTTTTGTGGTCTTTGAGTATGGTTTTCACGCATTCAGTGTAAATTTCACACGAGTTCAGCTATTCAATACGAGTTCAACCATATGTTTACTTGATTTTATTTAATCTGAAATATCTTAAATACATAAAACAGTGCAAAATATGTAGGTTTTAATAAATTTAAATATTTAAATGGAGAATGTTGTGGTTTTGACATTTGTTCACCATTTAAATGATGAACTAAAATTGACAGTAGTTGTGGTTCAAAAAGTTCTGCAATTTAAATTGCTTCTCTAAAATGCCGTTCTCCTCTTCATAAGACGACGGTACAAAAAACTGTAAGGCGATTTAAGGAATCTGGAGAAGTAAAAGATAGATACCTATCAGGTTGACCGAAACAAGTTATCAATGACAACAAAACTTCATATATAAGCAAAGTTTTGTTGAAGATCCACATAAATCCCCACACAGGGTTGCACAAGTACATGATGTAGGTGATTCTTCAGTCTTCCGTTTATTACGTAAAAATAAATTTAAATCATACAAAATTAACTTATTGCAAGAATTAAGTGAAGATGACTTTGGTCGTAGATTAGAGTTTACTGAGGTAATGATGGATACAATTGAAAATTATTAAAATTTCGTTAACAGAATATGTTTTTCCGATGAAGCAACTTTTACACTGTGTGGAAGTGTAAATCGACACAGTTTAAGGTACTGGTGTGACGTAAATTCACACTGAAGACTGAATGCGTGAAAACCATACGCAAAGACCACAAAAATTAAATGTATGGTCAGATATAGTAGTTACTTATTCAATTGGGTCATTTTTTGTCGAAAGAAATTTAACGTCAGGTCGTTGGTGTAAATGTTCGGCGATATTTGGATGAGATATTTCCTGGACGATAAATTGGTAGACAAGGTAGAATTGAATGGCCTCCACGTTCACCCGATTTCAATCCTAAAGATTATTTTTATTAGGGATACTTGAAAAATTCAGTTTACAAAACTTAACCAGCAAGTCTTGCAGAGCTAAGGCAACGAATTATCAATGAATCTCGAATAATTTCTAGACAATCATGGAGAAATCTGGTAGACGCCTTCTACCATCGATTAGGGTGCTGTCAACTCACAAACTGAGCACATTTTGAACACTTAATAACGTAACTACTATGTTAACAAATGTTCTAAACTATCAATTGTTACGTTTTAATGTATTTGAAAATAGTTGGTATAAAAAAATTTATTGAAACAATTTAGGCGTTGCCAGACTTCGGTTTTAAATGATGTTATTATTATGTATCTATATTATTATGTATTATGTTATTATTATGTATTTATGACCTTCCAGATTACATAAAATTATAAGTGTTACGTATGGTTGAACTCGTATTGAATAGGAGATTCCAATAATGATTGAATATACAGGGTGATGTGTTTGAAAAACCAAAGTTACTAATAATATAAGAAAAACGACAAATCTGGCAACATTGTAAATATCAAATATGGAATCTTCGTATCCCAAAATAGTTGTACCTCAAATTTTGTACAATTACGATGAGCATTTTACGAGATAATTAGCCGTTTCCAGACTTTTGGGCCACTCTTTATACTAATTACAAATCCATGTAATTAGTATATCAGTATTTTTTTACAACTGCAGGTCCTTGTTAATAAATCCATTGTGTGCAATTATGACATTAAAATTGTCTTCTTAGCAATGTCATTGAAAATCATGTGAAAAAGCAAACATCTTCTTCTGGAGTACTACAGTCCAAATTGAGCCTTGGACATAATATCCATGAAGAAAATAGAAAAAAAAATTATTATACAAAAGAATCTAAAGAAACAGATAATTACGAAACGAACGTGGATACATTTTATTCGCACAAAAAAAAAACAATTGTTTGGACTCAAGTTAAAACTGAGTCATAGACAAATAATATTTTTGTAATAATAAATTTTGCTATTCATGATATAATTTGACATAATATGCTAAATTTGAAAATATCTACACTTTCACTAATTTCAAAAAATTTCAGACTACATTCAAACAAGTAAAAAAAGTAAAAGTTTTTAAAAAAGTTCCTGTTGCTTCTGTAATCAAAGTGATTTTTTCTCATTTTAGAGTCTCACATAAATGTTTAAAGTGAAGTAAACATCATGGTAGAAAAATGTAACTAATAAATGTTTAACGTTTACTCTAAAAAAATACAAATAGAACTATTTATAGGTGAATACACGTAATTATTAGAGAACAAATTGGTAAACTGGGAATATATTGTTGAATGTTTTTACGTAAACCCACTGTACATACACTCTTTTAAATTTATGATCGATTTTTAAAGGTCTATTAAAACCCTAACCCATTTTGGAATGACAAAACAAAGACTCCCTTGTAGATTAACAAACGACGAGAATAAAACGATATGGGAATTAAGCGATCTAAACAACGTATGGAGACATTACATAGAAGAACTATTCTCGGACACACCACTAAACAACATAATATATAAAAACCATGAAACCAGTCCTCCTATATTAAAACAAGAAGTAGAGAGAGCAATCAAAAACGAAAAAAATATGAAAGCCCCTGGCCCCTATGACATACATAGGGAAGTCATAAAGCTACTGGAAGAGAAACATTTAAATATAATCGTCAAATTATTTAATCAAATATATACAAGCGGTGAAATTCCACAAGACTGGTTAAAATCAGTCTTTATTCCCCTTCCAAAAACTAAGGGAGCAAAGAAGTGTGGTGATTTCAGACTTATTAGTTTAATGTCGCATATGTTAAAGTTATTCTTGAAAGTTATTCACCAACGCATTTATAAGAAATGTGAACAGGATATCAGTGATGAACAATTTGACTTCCGAAATGGATTTGGGACACGGGAAGCATTAACCAGTTTTATTATACTGCTGCAAAAATGTCGAGACCAAAAAAAGGACCTCTTTTTATGTTTTATTGACTATCAAAAGGCCTTCGACAAAGTAAAACATGATAAGCTGATGGATTGCCTTCACAAAAAGGGACAAGATGAGATCGATTTTAAAATTATCCAAACGCTGTATTTTAACCAAACTGCAGCAGTTAGAACAGAAGCCGGTGACACAGAAATATTCAATATCAAGCGAGGTGTACGACAGGGGTGTGTATTGTCACCACTACTTTTCAATATATATTCGGAAGAAATCTTTGCACGAGCACTAGAGCAATCAAGAGAAGCTGTTAAAATTAACGGCAGAGTTCTAAATAATGTACGATACGCTGACGACACGGTCCTAATTGCAGAGAGCGCACAGGATCTCCAGACACTCTTAGATCGCGTCAGATCGATCGGAGAACAATACGGCCTTAGCATTAACGTCAAGAAAACAAAAACAATGATTGTCTCCAAAACATCCATCCATCCACCCATGGCTTTAAACGTGAATGGTAACATTATCGAAAATGTCGAGAAATTTCGATATCTAGGGTGCTGGATAACGAAAGATATAGATCCAGACATAGAAATAAAATCGCGAATTGAACAAGCAAGAAATGTCTTTTTAAAAATGAAACAAATGTTTACGTCCCAAACACTCAATCTCAAAATCCGATACCGAATGCTGAAATGTTACGTTTACAGCACCTTACTATATGAAATGGAGGCCTGGACCTTCAAAATCAACTCACTCAGGCGTTTGGAAAGTTTTGAAATGTGGTTATTTCGAAGGATGCTGAAAGTTCCCTGGACAGCGCATATGAGCTGTCCTACACAAGATGGGTACCGACAGAGAACTCTTAAAAATAATAAAACACGGAAAACCTCATATTTGGGACACATATACAGAAACGAGAAATACCAGCTACTGCAGCCTCTTATAGAGGGGAAGGTAGAAGGAAAACGTGGTCATGGTAGACGGCAGGCGTCCTGGTTGAAGAACATTCGTGAGTGGACTGGTTTGGATTCTCAATCTTTAATAAGAAAAGCCAGGGACAGAAATGATTTTGCTGAGGTTATCGCCAACCTTTATTGAAGACGGCACCCAAAGAAGAAGAATTGAAACCCTTCAACTTCAAATAAAATACTAGTAGGTTGGTTTTATGAATTTTAACGTGGTTTTAGAAGCATTAAAGACGATTCCCGTAAAGCACGTCCAAAAATCCACTTATTCTTCTTAAAGTTCCTTTTTCAATCGAAGATAAGACATCATTATGACTATTCTTTATTCACTGGTGTTTTGAATATTTGAGTAGAACTGATATTAAACCACTCCACGCTTGCCCTTTAGCTTTTCTTTCATTATTAGCTCTAAACTATGGATGAGAGGTCATATTGACCCAGGTAGGTAAACAAACTTGTGTAGACAAGTTATTTATTCATGCACCGCTTCACCTCCTAAAGTAACTTCCTAACATTATACTTAGTACTGGTCAGTCGCTCCTTGTTTCTCAATACCTTTAACTTAATTTGTAGTAATTGGGATCAGTGTGACCCCACATATCCGATAACAGTAATTTTTTATCAGACAGTGTGTAACAAAAAAAGCTACAGTTGCTAATGTTAGAACACGAGTTCATAATCTTGTTAATAAATACATTAAAAAATATATAAAAATCATTTTACCATGTGTTATTTAGGTTTTTTATTAACTTACTTTAATACATCTACCTTCATGCAACAATCCACAAAATCTACAGACTTGTTTCCTTAATTTAACAATGGCAGATGACTCTCCATTGTCACTTTTCTTCTCCGTATTATCCAAAAGTTCGATCGATTCACTGACACTGGGTCTTTGAAGAGCATCTTGATCCGAACATATATTTTTCAGCGACATTTAAACAATTAATATTAAAATTCCCGTGGCTTGACGAGTTGTTGATTGTTCTGCTGAGAAATCATACGCTGAATACTTGCCAAAGTGTGTGGTTTAAAAATACTCCACTTGTACACTAGGACCGATAAAACGAGATTAATCACGAAAAGGTATGAGATCCATTGATAAACACGGCCTGACGCAGTTTGTTTTAATATTCTGCAGTTCATTTCGAATTTCGAATCAGGTAGTTAATTTTATAGCGCGAAAGAATAATATTGACAATATAGTCAAGGAACTTGGGAAATCTTGTAAATTGGGGGCATACAATAAGAAGTGAGTCGCAATATAATTAAAAAGAATGAAATCCTTATGAAGCAAGTATTTAAGGTGAAATCAGAAAAAGTCTATATAAATTAGCCCGTAAGTACTCATGTGGCGCCTAAGAAGCGCTAAGCGGTCTGTAATTTGTAATATCTTTATTTATTTTCGTGCGAAGTTGTTCACTTGTGTATTCGTTATACATATATTTGACAACATAAGTACGACACAAATAATATCATCATTTATTTCCTTTCAAAAATATTAACAAATAAATGAGAAGATACATGAGTATGATACATGACTAATTGTTCCCAATTATCATTTCCAGCTAAATATTTCTCAGTTACATTTAATAATTTATGATAGCACGTACTGTTGCCTCAGGGAATTGTTTTGGTCCAAGCAGACAAGAACAGAGCAAACATACTATACAGACATATCGACGAGCTATAAAAACACGCGAGTGAGAAATGAGACAACTATTAAAGAAATAAGAATAAAATGGACCTTGGACCATTTGTGAAAACAAATATATACTACAAATAAGAAACGATAGAGAACCAATGTTACCTCTACATGAAAAAAAAAACATAATATACACTACTAAAGACAAGGCCGAAGTCATTAAAATCACTCTACTGTGTTCTATGAACTACCACCAAGAAAAAGGCTCTGAATTTAAAGAGGGCGTCGAAGAAGACGACTACAGAAGACCGACAGAAGCAGAAGATTCACCAATAAAACAGACATCCTCAAAAGAAGTAAGCGGCCGGATCCGGAAAATCTCACCAAAGAAAGGATCTCACTTTGGCAAGAGGGCCCTAAAATACTTACCAGAGAAAGCAGTGATTTATCTGACTAACATAATAAATGCACTGATGATTTATAGAAGATTTCCTAATTGATGGAAAGAAGCCCATGTGATAACAATCCATAAAGCAAGAAAAACAGCATTTTCTAAAGAACTACAGTCCAATACGTTTATTGCCAGTGGTCAATAAAATTGCTGAAAAATATTCTCAAGGCTCTAATAGAAAACAAAAAGACTACAGATCTTACCCGAACCCCAATTCGGATTTAGAGCCAAATACTCTAGTAAACACTAGGTACTCAGGATCACGGAATACATAGCAGCAGGCTTAAATGATAGACGACGACACCGTTCTGACTGCAGAAACACTTGAAGAACTACAGACAATGGTGAATAAGATAGCAGACTGCAGCGAAAAATATGGACTATCTTTGAACATAAAGAAATCTAAATTTATGTTAATATCGAAATCAACACAAAATGTCCAAAATTTATATTTACACAATAAAATTATCGATCGAGTTAGCAAATACAAATATTTAGGCACTTTTATGAATGAAGACAACGATAGCTCAGCAGAAATCAAAATAAGAATAGAAAAAAGCCAGATCCATATTCACTAAAATGAAGAAAGTGTTCTGCGGAAGAGATTTGAGCCTTGAAATGAAACTTCGCCTGATGAGATGTTACGTACTTTCTGTGCTGTTCTACGGAATGGAGTCATGGACGTTGAAAAAGATTGATACCAAAAAATTAGAGGCATTTGAACTGTGGATGTATCGCAGAATCCTGAGAATATCATGGTATCATGGACCAAGAGAGTCACAAATGTCGAGGTCTTGAGAAGAATGAATAAAGAAAAGGAAGCTATATTTACGATTAAAAAACGAAAACTGCAGAACTTGGGACACATTACAAGAAGTGAAAGATATGAACTGCTTCGAATAATTATGCAAGGGAAAATAGCAGGAAAAAGGTCCATAGGAAGAAGACGAAACTCCTGGCTAAAGAATCTACGTGAATGGTATAGCTGTAGCAACAACGAATTGTTTCGGTCAGCAGTTTCGAAAATACGTATAGCCCTGATAATCGCCAACCTTCGGAACGAAGATGGCACTTGGAGAAGACATCCGAGCAACCTTCCTAGGCGTAAGTAAAGCATCCAACAGAGTTTGGCGCACAGGACTGATCTACAAAATGAAGAACTAGGGATGCCACAACAGAGCTACTCTCCTCATACCTCGACAATCGCAAATTAAGGATTCGAATTGAAAAAGTCCTGTCCGAAGTCGGAATTCAAGATGCAGCAGTACCACAGAAAGTTGTTCTGTCTCCTCTGCTATATAACATACACATCCGATGCCCTCAGAACACTAGACACCATGATCAACCTCTATGCAAACGATACCTCAAAAGTAACCAAAACATTGCCACTAGGAGCATTACAAAAAATTGGCAAACACTGGAAAATGGCAGCAAATTAGAATATCCAGTAGTGATATTTAAGATGAGACGTGGCATACTAGCCACACAACTACAGGTGTTAGGTACTCTCATTGGATGGTCAAATGAAGCTAAGTAGCTAGGAACCACCATGGATTGGGGACACACTCACATTCCATGTTGAAAGAACAGTACATAAGGCAGAAGACAAGCCAGTATCAGAAGCCTGATTGGAAGAAGAAGCCAATTAACATTCAGAACAAAGACAATTACAAAGAGTACGCATCTCTCGCATAGGGACAGACTTGCAAAACAAATAGAAAGAAAGTAAGATAATAGAACAACTGATGAAGTTGAAATGTCTATTCATCACATTGTCTCGCCATGGAAAGCTCAAAACAGAGGTAGAAGATCAATTAAGTAGAGCAAACAGAGCCGCAGGTTGCCTGAATGAAACAATATAAAGAAATAAAAATATCGGAAAAGAAATGAAAGGCAGAATTTACAAGTCATGAGACCAATACTGACATGAAAACGTGGCAGACACACGACCTGTCACAGAGAGGACAAAAATAATGTTAGAAAAAGCAGAGATGAAAACAGAAAAATTGATGGTAAAACACTAGAGTAGAATCCTATGAGCCGAATAACAACAAATAGAGTGGCAAAGACGGCAAGAGACTATTTCCCAATAGAAAGACGATCACTCAGAAGACCACGAAAAGGATGGAACAACTTACTGGAGGCACATTAAAAAACATAGTCTTGTCTACAAAAAAAAGAAGAAAAACAAAAAACAATAAAAACGTTTTGTAAATTTTTCCTATTTATATTGTCTTCTATCTCTAACAAAGCAAAAACCATCATAATAGCTCGAAAAAACTGCGAGAAACGTGAACTACCTTGATCTAATTATTTTAGGTACACCGATCACATTAAGAGAATCTTTCATCCTGTGAAGCGCTGCTACTAATGCACCGCCTCCAATGTATATTTATTCTTTTAAAGTAAACAAACGTCAACGATCTACAGAAGATTTGTTTAGTAATCACGCAAAAATGAATCTAACGGCGCCGAAAATAAACTTTTTTATGTTAAGATAGAGCGGTCAGTGGCGTAGTCCAGAGTTTTTTTAGTATATTGGTTAGTTTAAATAATATTTTATATACATATTTTCCTACATTCTTCTTATGTGGTTATTCCATTCTTTTTTTCTATTTGATGTGTATGCATTTATACACTGTACGTTATATTTTCTTCTGTCTTCACTTCTCTTTCGATCTCTCAGTGTATTTCCTGTAATTTTTCTCAGTTCTCTGATCTCTGTCGTTTGCAGTACCCTTTGCGTTATGGCTATGCCGGGTCTTGTTTTTAGGGCATATGTCATTATTCGTCTTACACTGGCTTTATAAATTTTTGCCAGTCTATTTGCTTTTTGTACTTGATCTCTCACTTCGTTTCCCAGGTCTATATAGCTGGACAGTGCAATTCTTAGGTATTTTATTTCAATTACTTGTTCAATACTGATGCAATTACCATTATGCAATGAGATGAGGTTGCCATATTAAATTCTTTTGCTTTTATGGTAAATGTGTGGACTAGTCTTTGCAGACTATCTTTATCTTGGGCTGTCAAGCGTCGTTTACGTAATAGAGAATTTTTATTTTTTTGTTTTCCATTCTGTACCCGTTTCCTTTGTTAACATCATCATCAGTGGTATTATAGCTCGTTATGAGCCAGAGCCTTCTTCAGAACAATCTTCCATTCGCCCCTGTCTCTGGCAACTCTTTTCCATGCTTTAACTCCGATGGATTTTAGATCATCTTCTATGTTATCTTAATATCTAAGTTTTGGTCTTCCTCTGACATTTTCCTTAAAATTTTTTTCTCTAAAAAGTTCTTGATCGTTCTGTGTAAGTAACCACGTTTCTGACCCATATGTTCGCCTGGCCTTATTATTGTTTTATATATGGTAAATTTAATTTTTCTGGGTAGTTTTGGGGCCATGTATTTCCTCAACCCATAATAGCACTTATTGGCAAGCACTTTTCCTTTAATTTCTTCGCTGACATTGTTGTCTTTGGTCAGCAGCGAGCCCAGTTACATGAAGGTGTCCACAATTTCCAGTTTTAGATCATCAGTTAATAGTCTAGGTATCTGGTTGCCTGATCTAATACAATACATATACTTGGTTTTCTGTCGCAATACTTCTGTAGCAATAATGTCTATGTTAGTTGATATAACATAATCTAATACTAAGTTCCGTTAGTTGAACAAGATGAAGCGGCATTTGAAATTCTACCATAACCTGTAGAAGTTTTTGTCTGTTGACTGAGTCGTATGCAGCTTTGAAATCCACGAATATGTGGTGGGTGTCGACTCTGAACTCAAGCAGTTTCTCAAGAATCTGCCTGACTGTAAATATTTGATCCGTTTTTGATTTA